CATGCGAAAACTAGAAAAGAGACGAAGCAAAAATATATTTTGAGTGATTCTACTCTGCATCTTATAAATAAAAGAAAAAGTCTAATTGCCGACAAAAACGACAAACAAAATGTGAAAAAAATAACTGAGTTAAGTAAGAAAATAAGAGAAGGCATAGGCAAGGATAGGAAAGACAGAAGACTAAAAACACTTGAAAAACACATCATTGCTTCAGGCGGAACAAAAAGAGCTCTTTAAGAACTCCGTGAAACCACTTCATGGATACCTAATCTCAAAAGCAACGAAATTAGCATCACAAACCGCAAAAGTATTTTTACAAGACGCTCTATTCCAACCCAGATATCACCGAAAGTAAAAAGTTCGAAAAATCCGAGACGACCATGTACCCTCCAAACTTAGAACCAGAAATATTACAAAGTGAAGTCAGGAAAGCTATACTAAGCCAAAAGTCGGATAAGGCACCAGGCCCAGACAAGATCACGAACGAACTACTGAAAGGAACACTAAACGATCTCGTGCCTGCTCTGACAAAAATCTTCAACGATATCCTAATATCAGAACAGATACCTAAACAATGGGAAACCTCGCACATAACTCTTATACACAAAAAAGGCTCAAAAGAAGACTTATCGAACTACAGACCAATAAGCCTGATGTCGAACATACATAAGGTCTTCTCCAAGATATTACTAGATCGAATAAGCATTACATTGGACGAAAACCAACCAATGTAACAGGCTGGATTTAGGAAAAACTTTGCAATGATAGACCAAATACACACAGTTAAACAAATCATAGAAAAGCACAGTGAATATAACAAACCAGTGTACATGGCCTTCATTGATTACACCAAAGCTTTTGATAGCATTAAACATGAAGCGATTTGGGAAAGCTTAGAAAAACAGGGAGTATCCAGAGCTTATATAAACATCATTTAAAAATTATATGCTAACTGTAAAGCAAGAATACAAATGGAAACACTTGGAGAAGTATTCAGTATCGAAAGAGGTATCAGGCAGGGTGACCCACTGTCTCCGAAGTTATTCTCCGCTGTACTTGAAAACGTATTCCGAAAATTGGAATGGAACGAATTTGGATTAAATATAGATGGAAGAAGACTAAATCATCTCCGATTTGCAGACGACATTGTCCTGTTCGAAGAGAACCCTCACAAACTTGAACAAATTATACAAGACCTAAATAAGGAAAGTGAGAAGGTCGGGCTAGCAATGAATGCAAGCAAAACAAAGTTACTATCAAATTCAATTCCATGTGAAATAAAAATCAATAACCAACGTCTCGAGTATGTAGAGGAGTACATATATTTGGGACAAATAATCTCACTAATGGATCTAACTACCAAAGAAATCAAAAGGAGAATAGCCAATGGATGGAAAAGATATTGGTCACTGAAAGATTATGAAATCTACAGATTTTAGTAAAAAAATTAAGAGCAGGGTCTTTAACACCTGTATTCTCCCATGCCTTACTTATGGCTGCGAAACTTGGGCACTTTCTAAGCATAACAGTGGTAGAGCCACGCGGCAGCTTTTGCTGTCGCACGGATGGGCCGGCTCGAACCGGGGTGGTACCATGACCTCACAGAAAACCAGCGTGAAGTAGAGGTTTACCTCTGCGTTTCGCTTGGTGAGTGCAGGTGGCCGGAGGCCCTTTTTACTGAAAATGAGGCATTCCATCTTAGTCCTCACGGGTGACAACGCATTTACATTTTGATTTGTAATAGAGGATAGATGTAGATGTCTATGGACCACAGCAATCACTTACTATCAGGTGGACTGTGTGCCCGTTTGTCACCCTTATCCTATAAAAAAAAGAGCAACACAGAGATATGCTCGAACACTGTCAAAGAGCCATGGAAAGGAGCATGCTAAGAATCAGAAAAATAGATAAGCAAAGAAACACATACATAAGAGCAAGAACTGGTGTGACAGATATTCTCACCAAGATAGACCAAATGAAGTGGAGATGGACGGGTCATATGCTACGAAACCCCCAAGATAAATGGAGCAAAATAGTGACCGAATGGTACCCCAGAAACGGGAAACGAAATAGAGGTCGCCAAGGCAAAAGATAGGAGGGCGAATGAAAAAAAAATTATTAATATTATCTTTTTTTTACTATCTTTTTTTAAAAAACGTTACCCCCACACTAGGATTTACTCCCGTATTGTGGAGGCAGTTTACAAACACAAATTGCACAAGGACAAACATCCAGACCCGGAACAATTATTTGTAGGCCATACAAATACTTGTTCCGTGCGGGATTCGAAACCGCGGTCCCCAGTGCAGCAACTTATTGCTAAACCACTGCACCACGGAGCCGTCAAATATGAATGCCATCAACGATTAAATGAGGTATGTAAAAACAATAGTGTGACTGCAATGGATAAAGGGACACTGAATCCAGAGGCAACGATGCAGTAGACAAACTGGCTAGAAGAGGATCGGCTCTGGCAACTATAGGGCTTCCAATCATACCAATCCCCTTTGGTAATGTTCATTCACTAGTATGTAGACATTGGAAAAATCTAGTAGACTGTAGACAAGCTAGGGAGGCCCTGCCTGAAATAAACAGTTGTTTAACCAAAGTTCTAATAAGACTACTAAGAAGACACGGCACCTTTAACAAACATTTATATATGTTACAGTTATGTACAGTTATGTTACAGATAGTCCCCTGTGCAGGGCATGTATGTGGGAGGAAGAAACGGCGGCCCACGAGCTACTAAAATGTCCAGAGGTGCTACATACAGGGCTAAACATCTCGGCACGCTGAGATCACTCCCCGAAGTTGCATGCAACATCAAAGGACTGTTGAGCTTCTATGGGGAGATCTCATGGCTCGAATAATCACATTATTCCTACCCACACGCCAAATACGCGCATAGACGTGGAGTTGCAGAAAACAGCCCGTCGTAAACTAAACTAAACTAACTACACTTGGCTGAGCATTATGCTTTTTTTCCACGTCTTAAAAATACGCTAAATTTTTGACCTTATTATCTGAATGCATTTTATTCAAAAGATCTTGAAGTCTTGATGACTACATCTCTTCGTTTCAAAATGTTTTTGAACAAAAAAGGCACCAAGGCAAAGATGGATTTGTCGAATTTTCTATGAATCCCCATATTTAATATATTCTGCACTATATTGCCATCTCTTCTTTTTTGCTTCCGACATGGCTTTGTTTATACAAATATGTAAATAAAGTGTTGAACTAAAATTCTTGTTTAAAGATTGTGCGTGAAACCACTAATAAAAATATAAAAATTGTTACAAGCTTTATATAGGATTTTAAATACAGCACACACCGACAGGAATGAGACAAACATGCACAGACTCGTTTATCTCTTTCAATGCTCAATCATACTGAGCAAGTTAAGACAAGTTTCGATGAACCAGCCGATTGCTACCAGATTGCACCAATAGCATTATTTAACAAAAACTTGTTACAACTTGATTGCATACTGTGTACAGGCTAACCTATGAAATCTATGGTAAGTATTTCTAGTTAATATACCATCATACTGGGCAGAAATATAAACTAATTATTCCATATTGAGTAGTAGGTAGGTTTTAATTTTACTAAATTTTAAAATATATAGTATCCAAATGAAATTACAAATCAACCAATGCCCCTAAACAATGCCAATGCCTCCATTCTTTTCTGCACCCCTTAAGGTCTCCAACATCCACAGGGGGGGGGGGGGGGGGGGTTATCGCCCACTTTGAGAAAGACTGTCTTACAGTATAGAGAAGATATTCATGTTGGATTTAGTAGTGTTAAATAGTGGCAGAAATAGTGCACTTGACCGCAGGAGGACGAGAGGTACATATTAAAGTGGGTATTAATACACCATTAATTTTTGGCACAAGGATCTTAGTAAATTAACTTTGTGGTTTAGGAATGTTACCATCTCAAGAATTTTTTTAATTCTCTAACAAAATTTTAACATATATAACCTAATGTAAATAGAAGTTGGACATTGAATATTGAATTAGACTATAATTAAATAAAGATCTTTAGAAAAATAAAAATATAGGCAGTTATACCGAGTGACGATAAAGTTATCACATTAAATGAAAAGACGTATCCTACATAAATTTCTTAATCCTACATAACTAAAAAATATATATATAACAATTAATATTTTAGTTGTGGTAGAATTTTTTCGTTTTAATATTAAATAACATCATGTAAATGCATATAGATGTCACCTGATGAATACTAGAAGGTCAAAGACCCATGGCATTTGAATGTGATATATGTAGTTTAAATGTTGCCAATTTGAATTACTCAAATAAAGAAAAAATTTACTTACGTCTAACAATTTAAGGCATAATTTTATAAATCGCGCGAAATCAAAAACAAAGGGACCGTGCCCTGCTGGTGTGGGAAAACAAATTCAAGCGAAAAATTTACTTAAAACAAAGGACTTAAGGCATAATTCTCTAAGCGCGAAGTGACAAGAAATGGGACGGAGTGTCGAAACTTAGCGACGTGGCCGCTTTTACAGGTCGCTTCAGGTCAGTCAACTAATATTATCAAGGATGATTTATTTCTTGTCAATTTTTTACGCTATTTATTTTGTTTGAAAAATGCATTTTTTATTTTCTTTTATTATTGTTTATTTTATTATTTTAACAGACATATATCAACTTGTATTAACTGCTGTGCTATTTAACGTGATAACCTAGGCGCCACCCAGTATAATTTGTGACATAGTAACTGCGAAGGCATATTTGGCTCCTTTTGAATTTATCATCTGAATTCCTTATGCTGAATACATACTAAAATGATAAGTTTAAGATGTAATGGATTCACTCTTATTGAATCTATAAAAAAAACTTGTATGTTTCACAAAGTTGTTGTTCTAATCAGTAGTGTAGTTTAATCCAATACTGCCATTTTTAGCAGATATTATTACATTACAACATTTATAAATTTTAACTTTAAAGAGGTAACAATTTACTTCTTACCATAGAATTGAATTGCTGGGGTGTGTACATTTGTTTGGCACAAGCTAAAATTGTTGATGTCTTTCCAGTACCTGGTGGTCCGTAAAATAATAGATGTGGTAATTGATTTTCCTTCATGAACTGACTAACTGAAATGTAAAAGTTTAATTTAAATGTTTAAATACGGTAAAATATGAGAAATATTAAAATTAACCTTAAATTAAAACTCACTTGTTTTAATAATATCATCGTGAGACACCAAATCTTCTAACTTTGATGGTCTGTATTTCTCTACCCTGTTTAATGAACAAAGTAAACTTAATTATTTATGTATAAAACTTAATTATATACAATGGAGAAGAAAAGTTCTCGAGTCCTTGTATCAGTCCGCGAAACGTAGGAAGGTAGGGTCCTCTACTAGATCGAGTAACGTTATGATATGCCTGTTATAATATGCAGGAAGTAGATGGATGCAGATTCCTCAGGACCATGTGTTGTGACATTCCCTGGAGGATGCCTACGTTCAGCACTAAACTTGAGAAAGACTGTGATAAATAATTTATTTTTTATTATTATTAATAATAAGTTTGAAATTTCATAAAAACATCACTTACCAGGGTAAATTTTTATTTGCATCTCCCACAGTCATTATAAACAATGCAAACTTAATTTGCAAATCTAAGTTTGGGCATTAAATAAATAATAAACAAACAAAAATGAAAATGAACAATGTTGATGAATTCAAACCTAAAATCAACGAGTTATCATTCACATTCAGTATTCAGTGTCAAATGTCATTGTCATTGTCAAATTTCGCGCCTAAAGTAATAAGTTTTACGACTAGCCTATTAAAGCAGGCATAGGTCTTAGACTAAACAGGCTAGTCTGATTTGTATTTTATTCACAAAACTTTTTACAATATGTTCATGCGTCACATTACCACGCATTACGAAGTTCTTGGACGATTTTGATGAGTATAACCCAGTAGATAATTAACGACTATAATATGTCAAGGCTGCTGTGCGATTGAAAAAATCTGAGATTTATTTATAGACTAGCTTTGCACCGCGGTTTCACCTGCCACCCGGCGCGATATGGCATGACACCTACATCATGCATTTTAAATAGCAATGTAGAGAAAAATTGGCAAAGTTACATTTTATCCACTCTCCCTCATACTCCACATTTTCATGCATCGTTTACTGTTTTCTTTAAAACAGAAGAAACCGCGATTCGGGATGTGTACTTTTTGTGCCGGGGCGAGGGGGGAGAGGTGTTGACGTTCACCCGGAAAGAGGAGGGTGAGTGGATAAAATGTAAATGTGCTGTAAGAGTTAATTGCTGGTTTCTCTTGGTTGTCATCGTTCGCCATGTCTAATAATAACGCTCATAAATAACTTTCTAATTTTCAATAATGTTTTGTCACAAAATACCTTACTGTGTCTTTTGTATAAGAAAGACGCATATGGTATAGCGGACATTTTTTAAATGGATTAAAGATCTATATCTCTGTAGAACATTGTATTTACGTATCACAACTAATACTCCAGCGCACGCGGATAAATAATTCCGGGAGCGAGGTCAATCAATATTTAAGGCTAGCTGAGAGGTGTACTGCCTAGTTGCCTAATGCTAGATAGCCTATACTATTACACATGAATCTAGATATAACATACAAAAGAATTTTTAAATCGGACCGATAGTTGCAGAGATTAACATGTTTAAACAAACAAAAATACAAAGACACTTCCTCTTTATTATATTATATAGTATAGTTTAGTAAAATACTTTTTATCAAACATTAAGAGCGAAAAATAATATTAACTTGATCTCGTTTAGACCTAGAACTTACTTCTTCTAATTTACAATAAATATTTGGTATAGGTGCTGAAACCCTAGGACGTCCATCTCTACACCGTTTGCGATCTTGTATTTTAGAAAAGTCGCAGTTTCTTCCTCCCTCATACATGCTCTGCACAAGGGACTATCTGTAACACCTATAGTAAATAAATGTTTGTTAAAGGTGCCGTGTCCTGTGATAGCACTTGTTACTATCCTGATCTGCGGCTTGTTCAGTCTCATTAAAACTTTGGTTAAGCGACTGTTTACTTCAGGCAGGGCCACCCTAGCTTGTCTACAGTCCCCTCCAGCATAATAAAATTGATAATTTTAAGTGCTGATTTACCACTAGCTCGGCATTGAAGAAAAATTTCTTGAGAAAACCGGCATACCTGAGAAAAAATATTCATATAACATGCACTGAAAGCTTTTTTTTTTATTTATAGATGGGGCTGAATTATTTGAAAAATATTTATATCTTCCAATTAAGAAAATACAATTTTGTTTGTTATATGTAAATTTTTTCAATTCCATTACCACTTTGAAATGAGTTACCTCTGACCGGAGAAGAACCACTTGAGAAATTCTGCAGATATCTTAATTTTTGTCATTTTTTAAAAGTAAATATTTTAAAAGCTTCTGGCTGCTAACCAGAAGATTTTCTCTGCTTTTGTGGATCTTGAGAAAGCATTTGATAAGGTTGTAAGGAAAAAAATGTGAGAACTGTTGCCGGGGTATGGTGTGGATGGCCGATTGCTAAGGGCTGTGCAGTCTCTTTACTGTGACTGTAAAGCCTGTGTGCGGGTAGGGCATGACCTGTCACCCATGTTTAGCGTCCAAACGGGCGTAAAACAGGGTTGTGTCATGTCTTCCTGGCTGTTCATACTGTATCTCGACAGCTGTTTACAAAAGCTGAAAGATAGCTGTTTGGGTGTGAAATTGGGTGACATAAAAGTAAATTGTCTGCTGTATGCTGATGATGCAGTGCTTATTGCACCATCAGAGGCAGAACTGCAGGCATTAGTCACGTGTATGAAAGAGGAATGTGAAATTAAAGGTCTCCGTTTGAACGCTAATAAAACTAAGGTTCTGGTATTTGAAAGGGACGAAGAGAGAACGAAGTGTGAAATATGGGTAAATCAGGAATGTCTAGAACAAGTAAATGAAATTGTATACTTGGGGAGTGCTTTTAGCCGGGATGGAAGATGTGGACAGGCGTGTCGCTGCCGGGAACAAAGTCAATGGTGCCCTGACTGCGTTAGTCAAAAGGCAAGGCGTAGTGAAGAGTGCACGCCTTGCAATACATAACGCAGTGTTGGTACCGACTTTGCTATATGGCAGCGAAACCTGGGTATGCCAGAAGAAGCATAAAAGCAAGTTGAATGCAGTGGAGATGCGATCTCTTCGTAAAATGTGCGGCGTTACCATGGCCGACCGAAAGCGAAACGAAGAGATTCGCAATATGGCAGGTTTGAAAGATGACCTTATCACAAAAATTGATAAGGGCGTGCTTCGGTGGTTTGGGCACGTTGAGCGAATGAGTGAAGACCGAATGGTGAAGAAAATATATAGCGCGAAAGTTAATATTAAAAGGTGTCGAGGTAGACCGAGACTAACTTTCGAAGACCATGTGAGCAAATTGCTCGAAGAGGGTAGGGTCAAGAGTACTCGGATACCTAGACGTGCATGTATGAAGAAGATAATGAATCTGAAAGAAGCGAAAGAGGTATGTAAGGATCGTGACACTTGGCGATCTGTTCTCTCTGGCTACCCCGTCAGGGATTGTGCGTGAAGATAAGTAAGTAAATATTTTAATAGCATAGCCTATAATAGAAAACAATGAAAGACCAAAAAAAAATTGGATCTTATCAGTGCAATCAGTGAACCCTAGTAGCAAGCCGACCTTTCATATTCACAAACCTAACTGAGCATTATGCTAAGGGCCTCCAGTGATTCTGCCATAACATTGTCGACAAATCGAAGGAAAGTGATGTGTTGGTTATAAATACAAAAGAATCAAAATCGCAAGATCTATTTACTTATTTCATTAATTACATAGTAATTTACATTATCTTATCATATTTTGTGTAATGTATTCTTCCATATCAACTCTCGAAATCCCGACTTGTGGTTGCCCTTCAAAGATTGCGCCTGCTGCATCTTCCCAAGGCCACAAAACACGACCAGAATATGCACTCAACATATCGAGTTGCGCCTCTTCTAACAAGACATATTCACTTCTTGGTTTTCTATCCTTTCCAATTTTGAAGTAATATTTAAATCCAGTTTTCTTTGATATTTGTGCAATCCAAGGTTCTGTAAAAATGTTTACACTTACATATATTTGTGGTGGCAACGTATATTAGTCCCTCTATTTCCACTCGTCGGTGTCGTAAGAAGCGATTAGGGGAAATATCAGAATAATAAAGTAAAGTAAGTAAAGAGACGGTTGTATCGCCATTTATCGGAAACCATGAGTTCCGATAAATGGCGATACATCCGTCTCTTTACGCCAAGGTTTGAGCTGTCCTAGAACTGTAATTTGAGCTGAGGCCCATTTCCAGCCGTTCGCTTTTACGAACTGAGTAAGATTTTAAAAACTACACGATTCTTAAACTACAAACGATTGTCGTCATTTAATGAACTGCGCCAAAATAGTTTCATGACATATCTTCATTCGAAACAAAGGCATGTGTTTTCAAATTGATAAGAAATTAAGCTATTACTTATTATTAAGCTAGACCTTTAATCTCAAGTGTGCTGCAATAATGAATCATAGCGACATAGATCCGCCTTCGTTCTACCTCTATTTGTTAACGTTTAATGTTTTGTCATTATAATAATACATAACATACCTATCTTCTCAGATCTCCGTCTTAGTGGTTTCAGTTTTCAGTTTGAGTTAATTAGTAATAGATTAATTTTAGTAAACTACTAATAAATTTATATTAACTAATAAAACGTTGTATTATTTCCAGTTTTACAAAAATACTTCAAAGAACTAAAAATAATTCCCATACAATAGCTTCTGAAGTCGGTGCTAAGGCGATTGGCGAGTGTGTAGAAGATTTAAAAGCCCCGCATCACAGAATAAATAATAGTACTACGTACAGAAGTTGAACTTCTTTTATGTTGAATACTTGCCGACGTTTTAACTAATAGCCTACATAATTATTATTAATTAAATAAATCACGCACGCAGGCTAAATTAAACTTTATTGATTGCTTCGCACGAGTATTCGTATGGCTTTTGCATCCTTTCCCCTTCCTACGTCACGGACGATATTTCGTGGTTATCCAGGGCTTTCAACTAATACTAAAAAATACAGTACGTATATAGTACCTTTTCATTATTTATTTAAGTAACATCTGTTTTACTTTAATATAATGTCTTATATTTTTATTTGCTGCTTTTTCATTATTAATTTTTCAAAATGGTTAATGAATGTATTTTCAATAATAAACATGTAAATATATATATATATATATTGCACTAAAACTTATACAATTGTTTTATCCTATAACTTAATATACTAAACAATAAACAAAAAATAAATATTTATACAAGTCTATACAAAAAATCTCTCTCGTCTAAAACATACGGTACGGTACTTTTGAGTGTCTGTTCAATGAACCTAAAGAAGACCTAAAGAATCAATGTAACTATAATGCCATCTTATAACCTTTATACTTAATAACCTTTATCCCGTCTATCCAATATTAGGGGTGGAATTTTTATTCCAAATTTACATGGGACCACCTCAAGCTATCTAATAAAAAAAAATCATTAAAATCGGTTCACAAATGACGATGACATTAAATAACATTCATACAAACATTCAAATTGAGAACCGTCTCTTTTTTTAAAGACTGCTAAAAATTTCATGAATTACCTCTTATTTCTTTTAAAAACAGTACA